TACTGGATTGATTGACAGGTCAAAAAAAAAAAAAGAGCGCTGGCAGCATCAGCGGTGTTCTGTGTTTATATGTTGTTAATAAAAAGTTCTATTTAAAAAAAAAAAAAAACAGGGAGCGCTGGCTCTGCAGCCCACACATCAGACCAGCCCACTAGAAAATCTCCAGACCCTCCCGCAGCCATGCTGGACTTGAGTTTAGTTTTGTGACAAATTATTTTATTTCTCACAATTTCAGTCATGGCATCAACGGAGGAAGAAGAGATCACTGCCTCTTGGCAAAAAAAAAAAAAACTAAAGAAAAGGCCAGATCAGGGATGAAGAAGGGGAATTTAATACATTGGTGTCTCATACAAAACAGTTCGTCGCTGGGCAGTTTATTGTGCGACACCGCGTATGCGGTCGTAAAAATTGAGCTTTGCACAGAAATGCCCTGGGGGGTATGCTTGTACCTTCGCGTATGGACGTACACGGGAGTATACTGGGGGCTTTACTATGGCTGACTTTCATTCCTCTTCTTTAAAGTGCATACCTCCACCTCTCCAAGTTCTTTTCAGCCTGTTCCCTGTTCTCACCACAGATCACAATGTCATCTGCAAACGTCATAGTCCACGAGGATTCCTGCCTGATCTCATCTGTTAGTCGGTTCATCACCAGAGCAAACAAGAAGGGGTCAGAGCTGATCCTTGATGCACTCTCACCTCCACCTTGAAGCTATCTGTCACTCCTACAGCACATCTCACCACTGTCCTGCTGTCTTCATACATGTCATATACCAGTCTAACATACTTCTCTGTCACTCTTACGTATAACAGAGAGAACGCTTCTCTTAATGATCTGTTTTGCGTGATTCGCCTGCGAGGTACAGAGGATGAGTGTGCAAAAATGTCAATGCATGTCAAAACACACCCAATAAAAGCATCTGTTATGAGAGAACTTCCAGTTCTTTCTCCTGTCATTTTGTCAATGTCTATATCTCCAGACCATACAGCTGGTCTCACCACTGTCTTGTAAACTTTTCCTTAGACCTTTGTTGACACCCTTTGTCACAAATCACTCCTGAAACTTTTGTCCATGCACTCCATCCTGTCTGGACTCTCCTTTTCACCTCTTTACCACATTCCCCATTTTCTTGGACAGTGAACCCCATGTACTTGAAGTCTTGAAACTTTGTGACCTCTGCTCCTTGTAACCTCACTGTTCCACCCGCCTCCCTCTCATTCACACACGTACTCTGTCTTACTACTGCTGACTTGCATTCCTCTTCTTTAAAGTGCATACCTCCACCTCTCCGAGTTCTCTTCAGCCTGTTCCCTGTTTTCACCACAGATCACAATGTCATCTGCAAACATCATAGTCCACAGGGATTCCTGCCTGACCTCATCTGTACGTCAGTCCATCACCAGAACAAACAAGAAGGGACGTATATGTATACAAAAGAGAGCGCTTCTCTTAATGGTCTGTTTTGCATGATTTGCCTGCGAGGTACAGAGGATGAGTGTGCAAAAATGTCAATGCACGTCAAAACACATACAATAAAGCCTGAGAAGTTTAGCCTAAGGCAGACAAAAAAAGCACCTCTTATCAATTGGTGTAGCACAAAGGATGAGTTGGAGAAAACTTTGATAGTGTGGTATTGCATCATGCAATACCACACCTCCTCCCTCGGCACCCTGTCCTATGCTTTTTTAAATCCACAAAGCCACAATAAAGTTCTTTCTGACCCTCCTTCATTAGCATCATCAAAGCAAAGATGGCATATGTGGTGCTCTTTCTTGGCATGAAACCATACTGCTGCTCACAAATTGACACCTCTCTTCTAAATCTAGCTTCCGCAACTCTCTCCCAGATCTTCATCGTGTGACTCATTATTCACCTGTAGTTGCTACAACTCTGTACATCACCCTTGTTCTTAAAAATGGGCACCAGCACAGTTCTTCTCCATTCCTCAGGCATTTTCTCACCCTCAAATATACCACTGAATATTTGGGTCAAAAACCTCACTGGCATCTCTCCTAGACATTTCCAAACTTCCATTGTATGTCATCAGGCCCTACTGCCGTCCCCTTCTTCATTCTTTTCAGAGCTTTCCAGTGTTCACCCTCACTAATCTTTCCCACTTCCTGGTCCACAGTTTCTATGACCTACTCTTCTTACTCTTCCATTTATTTCATAGCTCCTCAAAGTACTCCTCCCATCTTCCTGTCACGTTCTCCTCACTTGTAACGTGTTAGAACATTATCATTTCTATCTTTCACAAGCCTAACCTGCTGCACATCCTTTCCAGCCTGATCCCTCTCTCTTGGTAAGTCTTTCTAACCTAATTTAGTGTCCAGTCTCGCAAACAACTCGTCATACGTCTTCTGCTTTGCTATTCCTGTCTCCTCTCTTCAGTCCTCTCACTGTCATATTTCTTTGAACAGCATTCTGCACTTTATTATTCCACCACCAGGTTTACTTATCATCCATTCTCTGTCCAGATGACACCCAAATACATTCCTACCTGTCTCTCTAATTACTGTTGCTGTCATCTGGAAAACATCATACAACATTTAAAGCATTTTAAGTTAATTATTTCTAAAAAAAAACAAATAAGAATTAAAGTTACCAATATTTATCAACAAATTAAACACATTAGATTAATTATTCATTCAACCTTTATTTATAAAAGTTAGTCTAATTGAGCCACAAAGACTTATTTACAAGAGAGACTTGTTTTAAACAAAGAACACAGATGAGGTACAGACAACAATAGACAATCATACAATCATAAAAATTACAGCTCAGTTTTTGAACATGTTAAAAACAAATAACAAGGAAATTTAATAATTTAATGTTTCTGTATTTAGTTTGCAATGTTTTAGACACACATCATTTCAGAGGACTGAAAACCAATCATTTCCCCCACATTTGTAAAAAAAAAAAAACTTCACTAAATCAACAACACAGTATTAATCACCTAGAAATTATTTTAAATGTTTATTTGGATATATACATAAAAAAACAGATAATTTAAACATTACTGGTAATTCACGACAGAAAATATATAATCCTTCTTAGCTTAAAATTCCACAATTTTACATAATTTCATGACATTTATCAAAATGTCTATTTAATAAAAAATACACTGCAAGAAGGCCCCGCCCTGAAAATGGTCAGAAATTACCATTTTGACTTTCTAAGCTCTTTTTCTTACAATTTTTTGTTTCAGATGCAAAAAAAAACCAAAGCAGCTTTTGATGTCTAAAGCCCCGTGGAAAGATAGACTAACAAGTTTGACAAGACCAACAATTCTAAATACATAAAAATAAAAATGATCACATCTTTTTTTAAAACTCTTCTTTATTACTGGATGTCTGTCGTTTCATGACAACAGATCATAAAAAAATACTTTATGTTTCATCACACAGTCATAAATATGTGTTTTGTTTTAGTGATTTATTATGATGGTTAGCTAAAATAAATCAAAACACATCCTTATCAAAATAATTGATTCCTCAAACTCATTTTTCTGTCTTTATTCCTATAGATCCTTCATTAGTTTAAAACAACAAAAGTTGCTTTAAAAGCACTAAAATGGAAACTCCAAAGGAAATGTAGGACTGAGTTTCACCTTTTATTTATTTACTTTTATGTTAGTGCTGTTTAGTCCTGCACTAAAAAAGACAC